TTTTAAATTTAAAATAATCACTGATATATTTTACAAAGTCAAAGAATTATTTATATATTACCTGCATTATTTATTGTATAGTTTTAAATGTACAGTGGACATATATTGTGTGTTCTGCAATCAAATGGAGTTACAGAATCTAGGATTCTAGATTGCTAATTCTTAATTTGATCCACAACTGGATTGTGGAGTTGTAATCCCCCCACCACCACCACTGATTTAAAGTTGGACAACTTCATAATGAAACATAATTAATCTGTTATGTCCTATTCCAATTTAAGAAAAAGACATTATGTGTTAAATTATTAATTCTTAGACAGTCATACTGGTTCAAATCTTCACACAGAACAGCCAGTAACTAAGTCAAAGTTAAAATATTTTTCTTTCTTTTCTGTATGCCTTCATATAGTTCATCTTCACCAAAAATTTAGCTGTTACGCCTATATATGATAGTTTAGGTCTCCATCTTTCTAATTCAGTTCTTGTAAATAATTATTACTCAGGTGCTGCTTTATCTCATTGTTAGTTGAGTGTCTTGTGGCTAAAGGACGTTGGTAGTCCTTTCTGCTCACTCTGGTTTTCCACTTGTCTGAGTCCAAAAAGAACCAGCAAGTTTCTCCTCCTCATGAACCTGGTTAGGTACCTCCCTGTACTAATCCTTGTCTTTTGTATGGCATCCTGGCATCCTCCTCTCTGATTGGCAGATATGAAGGGGCTTGAAGATGACTTGTTTCTGGAGCCACTCCTCGGCTCTGGTCCTGTGGGAGCTCAGCTCTTACTCATTATTCACTTGTGGTCTCACTTTGCAGTAGTTCCTTGGATCACACGGGCTCTTTCGTTCAGTGCTCAAGACTTGTATGTTATCAACCCAGTTTTGAGGGCTTTCACTTATTGGGTCTGTATTTCCACTATATACATGATTGGTTTCTCCTAACCTCATTTTGGGAGGCATCATTTGCTGTGACCTCCCTTCTCCTTTGGTAGTCTTTTCATATACGTTGGCTGGTCAAGCTATGTTACTCAGTATTGGCCCTCACTCATCATGTGATTCATTTGGGGTTTTTATCAACCCATTTGTTGGGTGGGCTCAGTCTTCTTCTTACTCTCAGAGACATGGAGTTTCTGACTTCCACATCTCTCATGTCTCCTTCTCTTTCTACACAACATGCTCTACCTCTTTTGGGAACTATGGACATGCCCATCTGCATCCCCCTCGATGGACTTTGGCAGATCAGTGTAACTTGTTTTTTTGTCTGGTGCTTTTCAAGGTGGGCAAGTTTTTTTCTTGCAGAGTAACCCATTTTACTGCTTACTCTTGTCAACCATCCACCCTTGCAATTTATAATTGTATATGGCTGGTTTATCAACTGTTGTTGGTTTATCATCAGAGCTGAGCAATTTAATTGATTATCTGTAAACCAATAAACTAGTCAATTACAATGAAATGAAATTAGTGTTTCTAATTATTATTGTTATCTATTATTCTGATAGTCAGTTAATTAAAATTCTGATTATATTGATTGTCAAGAAAATGATAATTTATTGTTTCCAATTATCAATTAATCAAAATATTGCAACCACACTTATTTGCTCATCCTGTCCTTGTTTATGGCAAAACTACTAAGACTATCTACCATTGTTACTAATTTTTAACTGCTGAATAGAAAACAGAGGAAAGGCAACTGGCTGAGCATCTGTGGCCAATTTTTTTTTCTTGTAGGTACCATGGCTTAAGGAACACTGTACTAACCAATTAATTGAAGGTAATTGATTATTTGGATTGTCAGTTAATCGATTAGCAAACATCAGTAATTGCCCAGTTCTTTCTGCCACTTCCTTCCTGTAAGTTGTCTAACTTCTTTTTAGTTCAGTTCCTTTTTTACCTGCCTGTACTGATCCTTGTCTTTTGTGAAGGGGCTTGAAGATGACTTATTTCTGGATCCACTCCTCAGCTCTGGTCCTATGGGAGCTCAGCTCTTACACATTATGCACTTGTGGTTTCACTTTGCAGTAGTTCCTTTAGCAGCTTTATTGATGATTTTTCATTTTTTTCCTTGACCATTCCTGTGTTTTTTTCTCCAGTTTTTCATGCTTCTTCACAGACTTTTTAATCTGACATTCTTCTCATCCAGTTCTTCATCTGTTCAATTTTCAGAGTTTTACAAGTATTCTGTTCAAATCATTGGTCACCCATTCCTTACATCATCTTTCTCTTAAGACATATTTTCTTCTCCTTTTGAGTGTGTGAGAGATATCATTGATATTTTTGTCTTAGATGCATCCCACACTTTATCACAGGGAGAAGTTGATTGTGTTCCATATTCCATATCAAACCTTCCTTCTCAAGATTTGGGTTGCCTGGAAGAATGATTGGGTGTTTTCTTCAGTCACCTTCCTTTCAACTTCTCTATATCAATGTTCAGAGCCTGCTCATCTCTTTTGTCCTTTACATGTAGTACTATGTTACCTAGTTCATGCAGCTTTCTACAGAGGCAATCAAAATTATCATTTCCTGCCCTGGGGTCCCTCCTCTCAAGATTTATCTCCTTCCACTTTATGAAGTAGGAAGTTGGTGTAACACCAAAAAATGGTTCTTCATACCAACTATATGGTGGCTGTTGGGGTAATAACTTCCTGAGTTTATGTAGTATTGACTAGTGGCAGCCAACTTTTTCATTGCATTCCTCCATATAGAGAGTGCTCACAAACTCTTTGATATATATATATATATATATATATATATCTGATGTTTGTGTTCCCTCTCCCCATACTGTGTGTGGTGTGTTATAAAAAATTTAATAACATTTTTCTCGGTGTAAGGACATGGCCCCATCTATGAATGTAGTTAACATTAAATTACATCAAAGGTAATAAATGCTCAATAACAGCAATAATTGGGGTGGAGGGGTTTTTGAACCCTCCATTAACATGCCCATCGTTCCAAACTATCATCCCACAAAATTTGTTTGAGATTGGCCCAGTGATGTAGGAATAATTAGATAATTGACAGACAGACACACACACATATGTTTGTGATTTATATATATATATA